AAAAGAAGGCTGGGCACGGTGGCTCAAGCCTATAATCCCAGCACTTTGGGAAACTGAGACAAGAAGATTGCCTGAGTTCAGGAGTTTGAAAACAGCCTGGGAAACTTGGTGAGACCTTGTCTCTACAATAAGTCAAAAAATCAGCCAGGTGTGGTAGCATGTACCTGTAGTTCCAGCTACTTGGAAGGCTGAGACGGAAAGGATCGCCTGAGCCCAGCAGATTGAGGCTGTGGTGGCAGTGAGCAGCGAGCCACTGCACTCCAGCCTGGGTGACAGAGTGAGACTCCTACTAAAAAAAAAAAAAAAAAAAAGAAGAAAGAAAGAAAGAAAAGAAAAGAAAATTCTACAACACCCTGGAAATTGTTTTAAAGGCAAACACTCATTGACCAAAGACATGGGTAGCGCATCAGTTCCCCCAGAGGAGACTTGGTAATGTGGAGATTTGGTCTCTTATAGTAAAAACTGAGTCTTATGGGGTGGAGTCACATAGATGTTCAAATAGCAACAACAGCAGAGGTTCATCGATTTTTTTCAGCAAACACTTGCTGAGAGCCTACTCTTCCCAGGCTGTACCAAGCTGGGGATTTAGAGACATGAGCTATGTGCTTATGGTCTCTTTTAGGAGAATAATAAAAGATGAGCCAAAATCCAAGTTGGCAGCACATGGACATGTAGGGGCACATATACAGTGTGTAGGAGTTCTGAGAAGAGAGGGAAATCATTGCCCTCTCAAAATTCCTGGGAGCCCAGATTGATACTTTTTATCCTGCTCCAAGAATTAACAAAGGAGACTGTGCTTGCTGCCTGCTTTTCTGGGAACATGCAGAGAAAACCAGAGAGAAGAATGGAGGGTAGAGGCAAACTACTAAGAAAGTGACAGGAGAAGATGAGGTGCTTCTGGATCCCCAAGCCAAAAATACAAACTTTTGATTGAATCAAAGGGAGATGAAGTTTATTCATTCATTCATTCATGCAATAAATGTTTATGAGCATCTCTCAACTGTCAGTCACAGTTCTAGGCCAGAACTGTATGGCAATTAAAACTGACAAGGCAATTCCTACCCTCATGAAGCTTATGTTCTATGCAAACACATAGGTATGTGGTATATCATCTGTTGATGTCTTATGGAGACAAATTAAACAAGGATGTGGGATAGAGTGCTGATGCAAAGCATTGTTCCTCTCCTGAGTGAAGAAGTCTTTATGGGACATCTACCATATGTGCTAAATACTGCAGGGCAGAGATGAATTCATTCATTTGTTCATTAAACATTTGTTGAATTTGTCTATGTGACAGTCACTGTGCTAAGCCCTGGAGAAACAAGGTCTCTGACATAAAGGAACTTCCAAGCTAGTGAGAGAGACAGTCATTTAATAAATGTACGGTTCAGCCGGGCTCGGTGGCTCAGTCTGTAATCCCGCACCTTTGGGAGGCTGAGGTGAGTGGATTGCCTGAGCCCGCGGGTTCGAGACCCGCCTGGGCAGCGAGACCTCATCTCTACAATAAATCAAAAAATCAGCCGGGCGTGGTAGCACGCGCCTGTAATTCCGGCTACTTGGAAGGCTGAGGCGGAAGGATCGCCGGAGCCCAGCAGGTCGAGGCTGTGGTGGCCGGGAGTGGCCACTGCACTCCAGTCTGGGCGACAGAGTGAGACTCCGACTCAAAATAAATAAATAAATAAATGTACTGTTCAAATGTACAATTACAAACTGAAGTAAAAGCAATGAATAGGGCTGGATGCAGTGGTTCATGCCTGTAATCCAGCACTTTGGCAGGGCAAACCAGGAGGATTGCTTGTGGTCAAGTGTTTGAGGCCAGCCTGGGCAACACAGTGACACTCATCTCTACAAAAATAACAAAAATTGCCGGGTGCAGTGGCTCATGTCTGTAATCCCAGCACTTTGGGAGGCAGAGGCAAGAGGATTGCCTGAGCCCACAGGTTCAAGATAAGCCTGGGCAACGTGGTGAGTCCTCATCTCTACAATAAATCAAGAAAAATTAGCTGAGCGTGGCGGCACATGCCTGTAGTTCCAGCTACTTGGAAGGCCAAGATGGAAGGGTTACCTGAGCCCAGCAGATTGAGGCTGCAGTGGCCATGAGTGTGCCACTGCACTTAAGCCTGGGTGACAGGGTGAGACTTCGACTCCCCCCCCAAAAATTACCAAGATGTAGTAGTATACACATGTAGTCCCAGCTACTCAGGAGGCTAAGGTGGGAGGATTATTTGAGCCCAGGAGTTCTAGGATGTAGTGAACTATGATCACACCACTGTACTCTAGACCTGGGCAACAGCCTGGGATTGTGTCAAAAAAAAGAAAATAACCATGAATAGAATAGTTGAAAGGAAAACTTCAGACAAATTACATTTTTTTTTTTGAGTTGGACTCTCACTCTGTCACCCAGACTGGAGTGCAGTGGCTGCTCCCGGCCACCGCAGCCTCGACCTGCTGGACTCCAGCGATCCTTCCGCCTCAGCCTTCCGAGTAGCCAGAACTACAGGCATGCACTACCACGGCCGGCTGATTTTTTGATTTTTATTGTAGAGATGAGGTCTCGCTGCCCAGGCGGGTCTCGAACTCGCAGGCTCAGACAATCCACTCACCTCAGCCTCCCAAAGGCATGGGGTTACAGGCTGAGCCACCGAGCCCGGCTGACAAATTACATTTAACAGAGTTTGATCAAAAGATGAATTGGGCAGCCCCCAGAAGCAACTTCCGGGCTGCCACATGGTCAAATACTGTTTGTGGACAGAAAAAGGAGAATGATGTTCAGAAAGCAGAATTGAGGTACAGATACAGTTGAATCGCTTATAGCTCAGCATTTGCCTTATTTGAACACGGTTTGAACAACTGGCTGTCTGTGATGGCTGAAACTCTGGTTGGTACACAAGTAGGCTAGTCTGTTTATACATCCAATTAGGTTATAGTTCACTATGTACAAAGAAACATTTAGGCTAAACTTAACATATGTAAGGAGGCAAATTTAACAGGCACATGTACTTAAATTGGAGGATTGCAGCAGGCCATCTCTAAGAAAGTGGTATCTGAGCTGACATTCAAAAAATGTGTAAAAGTGAAAGACATCAACACTTGTTACAAACTACTCTAACTAGGCCGGGACCAGTGGCTCACGCCTATAATCCCAGCACTTTGGGAGGCCAAGGTGAAAGGGTTGCCTAAGTCGATGAATTCGAGACCAGACCAGGCAACTTGGTGAGACCTCATCGCTACACTAAATCAAGAAAAATTAGCCGGGTGTGGTGGTGCATGCCTGTAGTTCCAGCTCCTTGGAAGGCTAAGGCGGAAGGATCACCTGAGCTCAACAGGTTGAGGCTGTGATGGCTATGAGCATGCCACTGTCTTCCAGCCTGGGCGACAGAGTGAGACCCCAAGTCAAAAAAAAAAATAGAAAGAAAATTAATGCATTTGACTAAATTGCAATTCAGATTTCCATTCATCAGAAGACAGCATGAAAAAGAGAGGGAGAGAAGAAAAGGAAGAATAAGCTACAAATTGGGAAGAAACATTTGTAACTCACATAACTGGCAAATAAATGGTATCTAAAATATATATAAAAGAAAAATCAGTAAGAAAAAGACAACTCAATAGAAAAATGGGCAAAAATCATAAACAGGCATTTTTATTTTTCTAAAAGGAAACTTCATTGGAAAGAAGTATGTGAGCCCGGCTCGGTGGCTCAGCCTTTAATCCCACGCCTTTGGGAGGCTGAGGTGAGTGGATTGCCTGAACCCACGGGTTCGAGACCCGCCTGGGCAGCGAGACTTCATCTCTACAATAAATCAAAAAATCAGCCAGCCGTGGTAGCGCATGCCTGTAATTCTGGCTACTCGGAAGGCTGAGGCAGAAGGATCGCCGGAGCCCAGCAGGTCGAGGCTGCGATGGCCGGGAGCAGCCACTGCACTCCAGTCTAGGCGACAAGAGTGAGATTCCCACTCAAGAAAAAAAAAAAAAAGAAGTATGTGAAAGATGTTTATTTTCATTAGCAATTATTAGATAACACAGATTATGTTCATGCAATTTCATCTTACACTTATTAGGTTGTCAAAAATTAAGATATCTGACAGTAATATTCAGGCACTTGCAGGTGTTGTGGGGGTGTCCACCACATGTGCTTGTGATAGTGTTTGGGGGATGTGGGTTGGTATGGTGTTATGGGTTATTGTCCCTCCACAAATCCCTATGTTGAAGCCCTAATCCCCAGTACCTCAGAATGTGTCCTTTTTTGAAAATAATGTCTTTACAAAGGCAAATTAAGGCAAAGTGAGGCCATTAGGATGAATCCTAATTTAACATGACTGATGTCTTTATAAACCAGGGAAATTTGGACACAAGGACACACGTAGATGGAAGTGACATAGGGAGATGTTTCATCTTTTGGCCTGTCTCCTACAAACCGAAGGGAGAGGCATTGAACAGTTCCTTCCCTCCCAGACTTCAGAACCAACCAACCCTGCCCACATCTTAATTTTGGACCAACTAGTAAATGAACGAATGAGTGTTCTGAGTAAATATCTTCGACTGGATTATGCCCCCCATTTCAGTCCCATCCTGCAAATACCTGGCCCCGGAACAGGCTCAGAGAAGGAGCTCGCGATGCATGTTGAATAAGTACATTGGCGTGTTCTCTGAATCAGCCTGGATTCCTATTTCCCTCACCAGCGTCCCCTCCTCCCAGTCCCCCAGATGCCCGTTTCTCCAGCCTGGGCACATTTAAGCAAGTCGAGCGGGGGCCAGCATGGGGGCAGGGCACGCAGGCACGAGGAAGCCCCCGTATTCCGCTCGGCCGTGG